CACAACACTTAATGGAAATTACCAGCTTTGAGAAATTTTATTTGACATGAAGCCCGTTTTCTGGACTGCAATGCAGGCATTTTACCCTTGACAGAAACCTAGCAGAGGCATCAAGCACCAGTAAAGCTCCAGTTCAACAGCTGGTATAAATCCATTGAGCCACACTCCTTGTATCAAGGATTGAAACACTGTATGTGGTATAGCCCAGTGCAGAGGTGACCTCCTGCTTCACGGGCAGGGCAAAGACCAGCAGCACTTGCATTTCATAAATTAGTAAGATCCCGAAGTCAGGTCTCAAAGAATGATGACATTGTTTAAATACAAAACAAAACAGGAGTAATAAAAAGATACATAGTTACAGATACACAGTAAATATTATGTGTTAACCTTCCGGGACTTAAGATTTCAGTGAGTCATTTTTTTGGTGTCCTCTTCAGAAGCATAAGGCCTGAAAAATCATGATTACGTATTTCCAGAATCTGGGGCTTCAAATATTGCAAAATTCAGAAAAATCCATTAGAGTTGTCAGATCATGGATACTCATTCTAGCTAAGCCACAGCCTCCCCTTCCACTTCAAATGTGAAATACTTAGTGAACACAGTTCCTCCGTGCTGCTCCAGCGTCTGTCTTCTGCTAATCAGCCCAGAGGAAGAGGAGATCTAACACCCCCTCGCTGTCTCCAGTCAGTCTGAGCCTTTGTGTATCCATAGGCTATCTGACAATCCCCACTGCCAAATAACAAGCCCACAAAGAGACAATTCAAATGATGTAGAAATGTTGTGATAAAATATTTCAAACTATTCTATTTAAATTTGCCTGACAAGTGTTCCTCTCTTGTTTTCCCAGACCAAGCATGTCTGAATCACAGTAATATGAAGGAATAATTCCCAAAAAATATTCTCCATCTAATTTTCATAGCTCCCTACAGTAACAGAAATATCATCCCTCATCGGTATAGCACTATATTAAAATGAGAGAGAAAAAGGAAATGAATATTTTTTCAGTTCAAATTTATATAAAGCCAACTAGAAATAGAACTAAGATTATCTTTACTTGTTTTGCACATTCATAAACATATAAAAAGTACTGAAACAAAATAAATTTAGTATGGAGAAGTCTAATTGCTCTCTTCTGCCTCATTTCTTCCACTGCACCATTATATCATAAGCCAAAATCGAGAATCAATCTGTGCACAAAATACAAGGTGAAGGGAAGACAGTGCTGCACCTCAAGTTTAAATAGCTAGTCATTAGCTTTTTTTTTCCCTTTAATCAGACTTTGTCGCCTTACAGGTATAACTGCCTTTCTGTTGGTGTATATTTTTAAAAGATTCATTATGATTAATTACTTGATACATTGTCTCCAGCCCATGCATTTCAGGGTTCCTCAGAGTTTTATTGCGACAGTTGTGAGTTAGTCTTTAGACTTCAAGAGCAAACTGAGGGCAGTATGTAGTTTTCAGAAACCAAGATGTGAACCGACTAGTTTATTTTCATGCATTTTCTTACTCTCAAATAACATAATTATGGAGCTTTCAGGGCAAACTGTGCCAAGCTGAGCTGAATACAAAGCAACAGTGCTCAAAACTGAGCCATCAAGAAGTATTTCAAATAAAAGCTAAGGAGAAAGGAGGCGGCACACGTCATTTCTCACTTAAAAAAAACATCTTGCACTCATGCCATTTTCAGTTTCTTGCCCAGATGTTGTCATGGGAAGAAAATATCAGAATATAAATTATGCCACACAAAGCACAGATGGGAGCAAGCTCTTACAAGAACATATCTTCCATTTTAGCCCTTTCCTAGCCTTCCTCTGGGGTCTAGGACTACATTAGGCACGGAATATTTTCCAGAGAGTGCCTTACTTTATAGGAACTTTCAGTTCTAAGTAGACAGTTATAAGAAGGTACAATGGCAACCACTGGAACCTTGTTCTAACTGCAGAATGAACGTGTGGACTTATCATGATGGCAAGTTTATTTTTCAATTTTGGCAGAGCAAGAGCATGCATGTGGCGAGTTATAGTGCTTTAGTTACAAATGAGCAGTAATTTTCTGAACTACTGTAATTAACCTAACATAAAATAACACTATAAACAGGAAAACACTCCACTATATTTAAATTCTATCCTTCTCATAAAAAAAATAATCACAAACCAAAACCCCCAATCATTTAATTATCCTGTCCTTGCCTTTTCTCAGAAAGATTTATACATGTGCTGACCCTCATCTCTGGCACACCTGAAAAATTGAGCATCCTTCCTTTCATCCCAAAGTCTGATTTCCTATCCATCACCTGGCAGGGCCTTGACTGCACTGACAATAGGTATTAATTGCCCTGACCAGCCTCAGCTGGGGCTTTCACCCACACTCTCTGATAGGGACTTCATTTAAAATCGGGCTTTAAGGGACCTTAAAGATCATTTAATTCTTATCCCCTCCCTCAGCTACTGGAAGGCTGTTATATGGTCTCCCCTGGAGCCTTCTCTTCTCCAGGTTGAACAGCCCCAACTCATAGGAGAGATGTTCCAGCCCCCTGATCATCTTTGTGGCCCTCCTCTGGACCTGCTAAAGCAGGTCCATGTTTTTCCTACACTGGAATGACAAACGTGAGTTGTAGGTGTCCTTGCTGCTAGTTCTGTTCCTGAATTGCTGTTTGAGTTTCCTGGATCAATCTTAGAAATGGGTTGTTACCTTGTCTTTGCCTGATTGTCCCTGGACCTGTTGCTGACACTGCTCTGCTTGCTTTTCTCTGGTGTGGTCACTCTAGGCTCTTAGTGGGGTCTTTTCCTGGCTTGTGTTGTGGTCACCCTCAGCTCCTGGCTTCCTCGTCCTGAGGGAGGGCAATAAGAGCTAGGTCAGGCTGTTCAGGGCCACTAAGACCCTGTGCACTCAGGACTCTGATATTGTTTTGCTCTACAGTATGTTTCCCCCTCCCCCGTGTCACGTTGCTGTCAGCACCATTTGCTTTGATCAAAAAATAAATACATTTCAGTGTGGCTCATTATGCTAAATGAAAGCAACAGGGGGCTAATGAGCATTGTGAATAAGTCATTAACATGGCAATCATAGGTATCCTCAAGATAGCTAAATCTTTTCTGCATCTTTATTGGAACACTCAGTATCGTATACAGATGTGACCTCATCTATTAAACTTAATTCAAGGAATAGATTTAGATGTCTAACTTGAGTAGTTTCTTTTTGTAGAAGTGTACATCATGTTACACTTGTTATTAAGAAAGAAAACTGCTAATTCAGTTTGTGCAACTGCTAAGGCGTTACTCGTAGCCTTCAGCGGACAAGCCGGTGTTAACAGATTTAATGTTTGGGGTTTTTTTTCAAATTAAATGTTATCCCTCTCTCCCTCCCTCTGGGTTTTCATCACAAATAGGAAATGTACCTGAAATAATAAATTTACTGGTGACTTCCTCTGCAATTGATTTAATGTGGTTTAGCACTGAACAGCATTTTTATTTTTCAGAATGGCCTTCAGCTCCTGCCTGATTTACTGCCCCTTGGCTCTTAGGGTCCCTTTCCACAGGTTGCTGACATGCTTTTGCTCAAGGGAGTACTTTTCATCAGTCCTTGTAGAAGGTAGTAAAACCAGCCTGAAACAGCATCAAAAAGATGTGTACTTAGAGAAAAGGCAATAGGGAGGAGGGAAACCTACCTGTATTCAATGATACTGAGAGTGCATCTTTCAAAAGTCCCAGGGAAGGTGGATGTAGGCAAAAAACCCACCCTATTCAATGTCTTTAAAAAATTGCTACAGTGAAGATTTTTAAAAGACTCAATGCTCTGAAATCAATATAATCACCTCCACAGAAAGCTTTAGAGAAGATAAATTGCTAAACACTGCCATGCAGGTGGAAAAACAGAAAAGATGAGCACCTCCTCAAGGTGCTAACACTGGTCAGTGGCGAAGCGAGGAAAAGATTTCAGTCTTGCTTTCAGGGTTTTCCCTGAGTTGCAATCTCAGCTGCTGTGACAGGTTCATCTATTTAGGCCAAATAATTTTTATATCTGTCTTTCTGGAATCAACTGAGAGCCGGCAGACAGCAGTTTCTATTGGAGTTTGCAGCATTTCTGTGATTTTTTTTGGAGGAGTGGACACAGCACACATATCTGGCCAGAATTATTAAAGTTATTTAAACAAAACATAGAATGTAGAGTTCAAACTACATTTGTTCTTTTCATTCTGTCTCCCATCTTTGTCAGTCTATGAAGTATTAGTGGAAGGATAGCAACATGGCAAACCAGAGAAACGTATGCAATTTTCTCCTGCCTTCAGTCACTTGAAAGTAGGCTTGTATCCCACACGTTTGCTCTGCAATGCTATGGCACGTCCCCTGGTGATGCTCTGACCAGAAACAAAGCATGTTCCCCAGTGAAGCTTAAGGGGGATGTGGCAGCCTGCCGCTCCGGGGCTACTATTGCAGGACCCACTGAGCACTGAAACATCCATCTCTCCTCCAAAGCATGACTGACTGCTTATTTGCTACTATCTTTCTGTGATGTTACTCCCACAGTAAGCACCATGGGAGGCTTGGGCAGGACTGGGAAACCCCATGCCTAGCTCAGGCCTGTTGTCTATAAGAAAAGGTAGCTGTGGCCGTGCTGTGGGAATGGCAGGCCGCAGTCTGGCTGTGCTTGGCCCCAGTCAGGCTGCGAATTCCAGCCATCTGTGCCCCAAGTGCTAAAACAACACGTGTAGGGCAACAATGTTCGAAACCCTTTTCCAAATTTGGGTTACTTTTACCCCCTTCCCCTCTCTCCCTTCCTGAAAGTCTGAATAATTGAGACACTCGTGGGCTACCCCGCTGAGGTCGCCGATCGCCGCCGGCGAGTGGCCTCATCAGACAGGGCGAACACCGTCCCTGCCGCTCCGGCACGGGGTTCCACTGTACCCCGGCACCGGGCACGGTCCCGTCCCCGTCCCCTCGCTCGCCCGGGCGGAAGCGGCGGGGCTAAAGGAGTCCCCGGGCTCCGTGAGAAGGGGGCGTGCCCCCCGGCAGCCATTTTGGGGAGCGCTGAGGCCAGCGGGTGGTGCGCGGCGCCCCCTGGCGGCTTCCCGCCCGCAGATCAGCTACGAGCGGGCGGGCGGCCGCCATGAAGTCCGTTTTCGTCACCGTGGGCACCACCAGCTTCGATGACCTGATCGCGACCGTCTCCTCCCCAGCAGCGCTGCAGGTAAGGCGGCGGGAAGCCCGGATGCGCGGGCAGCCGGCTCGGGCCTCCCCTTCGCCGCCTGTCCGCAGCGCCTGCGCGCTGGGACCTATCCCGCCCTCCCCGGCCCGCCAGTCACTGGCGGGGGTGCCTGAGGGAGCAGGAGGCGGGGGGTTCCGGGGGCGGTTGTGGGAGGCCTCGGGGCTGGGCTGAAGTGAGGTGGCGGAGAAGGAAGAGATGGAGAAAAGAGGGAAGGAAGGCGGGGAGGGGACACAGCGGCCCCCGGGCCGGGGTAATTGGGAGCGGGGCCCAGCGCCGCGGTGTCCGGGCGCATCCCACCCTCCTCCCCTCCGCCGCAGGTGCTGCAGAGCCGGGGCTACCAGAAGCTGGTGCTGCAGGTCGGGCGGGGCGAGCTGAAGCCGGGGCCGTGCAGCAGCCCGGCCGTGGCGGTGGAAGCCTTCCGCTTCAAGGACTCGCTGGCCGAGGACCTGGGGAGGGCGGACCTGGTCATCAGCCACGCAGGTAGAGCCCCGTTCGATTGCCCGGCCGGATCCCCGGGGGCGGGAGTGCCGGTGGGTTGGGTGAAGCCTGTCTCTAAGGCTCGGGGCTGGGCTGGCAGGGAATGTTCAGGCCCCCAGCTAGAGCCGGGTGGTTAAATGTTCACCTTCAGGAGTGTCCTGTGTCTCCAGAGCAAGTATTTCATCTGTCCGGGCAAAAACTCATCGTGTTTTCCATTTCTCCTGTAGGTGCAGGTAGCTGTCTGGAGGCTCTAGAAAAAGAAAAACCACTAGTAGTAGTAATAAACGAAAAGCTGATGAACAACCATCAGCTGGAACTGGCAAAACAGCTCCACAGAGATGGGCACGTCGTCTGCTGTAACTGCAGGTACGGAGCTGCTGCGGCTGTCCCGACTGATGGAGCAGTGTTTGGCACCATCCATCGCTCCCTGTCATCAACTCACACGCTGATGAGAATGTAACAAGGAAATTTACATCCCTCTTAGTAACAACCATTTGTTTGCAAGGTGGATTTTCCATACTGGATAGATTAACATCAGGTGCTAATTTACCAAACTTACCAAGCTTTTTGACCATGACACCTTTAAAGTATTTTTTTTTTGTGCAAGATGGGCAATTTAAACCAAATAGAACAGTCAGGCATCCTAGAAGCACCTAACAGCTTCTCTCTTTCTCTGGTCTTTCTCACTAGTTGTTTGATTCTTTTTTTGAAGTCTAGAAATAATACAACCCAGACCATCTGTGTGTAGCCATGAGCTATAAGGAATAAATCACTTCCTGCAGACTTAGGACTCCATTTCATCATTTTGCTGGATTTTCCTTGTAAGGGGCACTAAAGTTGACTGTATAGATGTAGTGACATAATAAAATTGAAAGTATCTGGAGTATTTAGAACAAAACATAAGAATGGCCTTACTGATATGGATCAGAGGTCCACATAGCTCAATATCCTATTTGCAGTGGCCATATGGAGATGTCCAGTCAAAAGTAGAAACAGGGCAAGAATCATAGAATGGTTTGGGTTGGAAGGAACCTTGAAGATCATGAAGTTCCAACCCCCCTGCCCTGGGCAGGGACACCTCCCACTAGACCAGGTTGCTCCAAGACCCATCCAGCCTGGCCTTGAACACCTCCAGGGATAAGGCATCTACAGCTTCTCTGGGCAACCTGTTCCAGTGTCTCATCACCCTCACTTTCTTCCTGCTATCTAATCTAAATCTTGCCTATTTCAGTTTAAAACCATTACTCCTTATCCTATCACTCCACTCCCTGATCAAGACATCCTCCCCTTTCTTTCCTCATCCAGCCCCTTTAGGTACTGGAAGGGCCTTTAAGGTCCCCCCATATCCTTCTCTTCTCCAGGGTGAACAATGCTAACTCTCTCAGCCTGTCCTCATAGCAGAGGTGCTCCAGCCCTCTGATCATCTTTGTGGCCTCCTCTGGACTTGCTTCAACAGTTCCATGACCTTATGTTGGGGGCCCAACAGCTGGACACAGTACTCCAGGTGGGGTCTCATGAGAGTTGAGTAGAGGGGCAAAATCCCCTCCCTTGACGTGCTGGCCACACATCTTTTGATGCAGCCCATCATATGACATATGGTACTTCCTTGTGTTATTTTCCTTCCCATGGTCTTAAGTACTTTGGTTCATGGAGATTCCTAAATCACATGCTGTCTGGCTAGTAACTTTCAGTCTCTCTGTCTTCCAAGCACTTATTCAGGTTGCCCTTTTAACCAAACTTCCTAAATCCACTATGTCCTCTGACAAGGAGTTTCACAGATTACTGTCTGTCACTTCAGGAAAAAAAAAACCCACCCACAAACCAGCAACCAACCAACCTCCCCCCAAAAGACCACCACCACCAAAAAACCCAGCTCCTTTTGTTTGTTTGTATTCATCTTGGTTCCTGTTAGTTTTGTTTGATCTTGTTTTGACTGTATCTTACTGTTTTTATTTATGATTATGATTGACTGCACTCCATAAATAACAGATGACCTCTAAATTGAAGGCAGAGAAAATGCAACTCCCATTATTTAATCTGCATCTTGTTCCTTTGCCCTGCAAATAGGATTTTGTATGTTTCAGAAGAGCCTTCTGAAAAGACTAGGCCTGTCATTCATTTATATTGGGCAAGTTTCTTAAACTTATCTCAGTGCTTCTGACAGCTTTGGAGACAGGAAGGAATTTTTATTTATTTTTGTTGAACAGTGCCTAGCATTTGAGCCTTATTTGCAGTCTGATAATAGCAAGCTAACAGATTGATTTAGCTGTTCTTTCTGGCTATCTGTTAAGTAGAGAACTGTGCCATGTGTTCAGATAAGATGAATTTCCTGGTACAGTTTATGGTGTAGATCCTCAGATCTTGTTCAGTCTCCCGACACTGCAACCACAGAAGATTAAAAAGTTAGAGCTGAGGTTGCCTGTGAAAGCTCTGATGCAGGTTGAAGTGTGTTCTCAGCAGTGCTGCCTATGAGCCAGGGAATGTAGGGGCCTGCTGGTTTGTGGGGTCTCTTCTTTCTTTTGATATATGTCCTTATTTATTTTTTTCTGTGCTAAGGATTATGTATGAATAGAAAGAAAATTGTGTGAAGAAAAAAAATTCCCTGTGGGATGGATTTTTTTTTTTTTTTAATTTTTGTTTCTGGTCTGTTTTTACAGCACTCTTGTGGAGACACTGCAGACGATGGACTTGACAACTTTGAAACCTTTCCCTCCTGGACAGCCAGAAAAGTTTGCTTTATTCTTGGATAAAGTTGTTGGATTTCAATAAACAGTACAGAGGAATAAAAGTGTCAGAATAAAACCTTTATCCTCTCCTAGTGAGGCCTTCCATACTTAAGAGTCTACGACCTGGGACAAACCCTCATAGAAAATTACTGTTGATAATAACTGACATTAAATGGTTTCCCATTTAGTGCCACTTTAAAGTTATCTAGCTTTATGCTTATAAGAGCATCGTGCCAAGGCGGGGGGGGGGGG